TATCAATTTATCCAACATAATAAATTCTGATATTAGTTTACATCGTTAGTGTCATGGCTATTACTGCAAATATACCAGCATCTATTATTTGTGTTGCTATGTAATTTAAGATTATTACTATGCGGCTGAGAGCATATAATTGCATATTTTAGATAAACAATAATGGTCAACTGTGTAGTAATTTATATATCATTTAAAATAAAAAATAATCTTTTAGAAATTTAATATCTCACAATAATTTTCTCAATTGCTTATCTAGCTTCCATCATGTCATCTAAGAGGAAGCTCTAACCAATAGTTTTATAATTTGGATTGGTCGTTTATACTCTCTCCTTCAAAAATTGTTGATTGGGTTTAGGCCAATAAATTTTTCCTTATTAATCCATTCTATAAAACATTGTCTAAAATGGTAACAGAGAGCTATACTAGTTTGATAACCTTTTGTCAATGTAAGTTGCTAAGAATTATATTATCGCATTATGTCGTTTTTTATATGTCAGTTTATTTTGTATGCATAATATAATAAATGGCAAAATATGAAAATCAGAATAATTGTTCAGAATTAGTAAATTATAAAAAAGTATAATATATTAATATAAAACCCGGCCGAAGGCCAGGCAAAAGTGGGCCAAAGGCCTGCAAATTGGCCCCCCATAATAAATTTTTTAGTTGATCCCCCAGAGATTGTGAAGGCTAGCGACGCCCCTGTCTCAATGTATCGATTGTTGACCTTTAAACCATATCCAGCTAAGCGTTTTGACTACTTTTCGGCTACTTCGAATACTTTCTCCTTTGTCTCTTCACATAGTACTATATCATCGGCCATATAGCTTACACCAAGGAGATGGCTTTTGGATGTCTCTCGTTATCGTGTCCATAATTATATTGAATAAAAAAGGACTTAGAGCAGATCCTTGATATAATCCAATTTCTGTCGTTCTAACGCAAGTAGTTGATGCTTCATATATATTTTTTATAAGCCGTACATATGCGTCAGGGATATTATGTTTTCTCAAGCACCATTATATTAAATCGCGAGGGACCGTGCCATAAGCTTTCTCCAAGTCAATAAAGACCATATGTAGGTTTCTTTTCTTTTCTCCATATTTATCCATCATTTGTCTTAGTGCGAAGATCGGATCGATTATGGATTTACCGGCCACAAATCCGATTTGGTTAGCCGATATTTCCATCTTTTACTAAGATCCTTTCTATAAGTTTCAAGGAGTGGCAAGTTAGCTTGATATCTCTGTAATTACCACACTCCTGAGGGTCTCCTTTGCCTTTGAATAAGGGTAAAATCGTGCTTGCTCTCCATTGATTAGGAATTCGTTCTTTTCCCAATATCTTGTTAAAGAGGTTCGTCATGGTCGTGACTCCTTCTTCTCGGCATCCGATCCATGCTTCCATAGGAATTTCATCTGGGCCATTAGCTTTTCCTTTTTGTTTCTTGTTCATTTGCATCCTAACTTCATCCTCCTGAATGAGTTCGACCATACTTATGTTTGGCTCAATATCGGGAAGTAAATCTTTGCCATTAGCAATATTCATAAGTTCCTTGAAATATCCTTTCCACCTTTCCATCACCTCCTTCGGCTTGAATAAGGTTTGACCCTCCTCGTTTTTGACTATTTTAAGGACTCCGACATCGCGACTTTTCTTCTCCCTTATCTTGGCCAATTTGTACATAAGCCTATCGCCCCCTTTATGATCCAGTTTGTTTGCCATCTCGGTGTACGCAGCATTCTACGCTATTGCAACGGCCTTTATCGCGACTCTCTTTGCCTCCCTATATTCTTGATAATCAGCGTCTACATGACAGGATTTTCACTGGAAGCAAACCCCCTTCAAAACCCCCCTGTCTTTATCATTATTTCCACCTATTTATTTATTGATACTCTTTTCAAAGAATTTATAAAGAATAACTTAAATTAATCTATCTCTACTACCAACTAACGATATTTTGGTGAATATAAAGAATTTATTTTTTAGATAATAAATTTAATTAAAACCTCCATTATTTACAATGAATTAATTATTATGCTGAAATATCTAAACCTTTTAAATTATATTTAAAAGGATGTTTATTTGGAAAACAATGTGTATGATTGTTGGCAATATATAAATTTGGTCGATGAATTGTATTATAATAATACTATAATAAAAGTATTAATTTTTACAGTAATAAATTTTGTCCTATTTCATCTCAAAATTTAATAATAGTCCCCAAAAAAATTTATCCTACACCCATTAAAGCAGCTTACCCCCTACCCCCTCAAAAAATAGGATGCAAACTGTTCCTACCCCTCCCGCTCATGTAGACGCTGTTGATAATCCTCCGACTTTTTAGATTTATGCCACCGTCTATATAGAATTTTTTTCTTTCGATGAAATCCCTAACCGATTGATCCCACCACCATAGTTCCTTATTCAAAGCTTTGCCTCCTTTGGTCTGTCCTAGAATCTGAATCGCTGTTTCCTTTATGTCCGCAGTTAGCGTCTCCCAATCGTCGTCTACGTTTCGTTCTAACTTCCTGGCACCTAAGAGTGTGGAGGCTTTCTGATGGTATTTATCGTTCGTCGGCATGTCCTTTAGCATTTCATACCTAATTCGAGGTTCATAAATCTTTCTTCTTTCCGGAAACACTTTTCTTTCAAGATCCATGACAAGTGGACGATGTTGCCTGACGATTTCTTCTCCCGGTATTACTTTGCAATCTTTGATCCTCCATAAATCCTTTCGCCGTATAAGCAGATAGTCAATTTGACTAAAATGCTTTCCACATCTATAAGTCACAATATGATCTTCACGCTTTTGAAAATAAGTGTTAACGATCGCCATATCATATGCTTGGGATACTTGGAGAAGTTTTCCCCTTCTTTGTTTTTCAGACCATACCCATAGCCTCCATGATTTCGTTCATACCCGAGACGATCTTTTCCTATGTGGGCTTTGAAGTCCGCCCCAATAATTATCTTTTCTTCATGTCGTATTCCTTGCATCTCTTTTTCCAATGAATCGAAGAATATATCTTTCTCTCATTCCATACACTCAATTTGAGGAGCATACTCGCACATAACGGTTAGGAGGCCTCCTTGATCTGCAATCTTCACCCACATTAACCTGTCTCATGATTTGACTTCCACCACCTTGTCCTTGAAGGATTCGCACCCCGTTTCTACGATTTGGTGACCCACTGTAGAAAAACTTGTATCCCTCTCCTAACTCCCGAGCTTTAGTTCCATTCCACCTCGTCTCTTGTAGGCAGGCGATGTGTATCTTTCTTCTTCTTAGAATTTTAGCATTTATGCGACCTCGAAGCTCTTTCCCATCAATGTACCCACATTCCAGCATGTTATTGGCATTCTATCCACAACTAAATTCCTTGACCGCCTTCGTTCTGAGTCAGGCGGTAACCCTAGTGTATTATTCGCATTGCACGGGCGGGAGATGCAGTGCGCGTCGTTTGAGGACGCCCTAGCTTTCTGTTGTAGAGTTTTATTTGAAACTATCATCATTTTGGAGTACGTTTTTACAGCCGGTTTCCGACCTGACGCCAACCCTCCACTTTTTGCACACGGACTTGGGATCGTCGTAGTTAGTGTTCACGATTCTACTAACCTCAATGGTGGTAATATTACTAATTTGATCTTAACATATATTTAAACATTATATATCAATCTGAAACTTTCTCAAATATTAAAATAGATATTTAACTTTCATATAATGTTCATTTTGTCATGTTTAAACGTTTAATTTTTTAATACAACCTAATAATATTAAGTGAAAATATTGTAATTTTTACATCAAAAACATGACATAACGGAAAATTTAAATAGTTAAATATTATAAATTATTTTCATCCTCAATTATGGATATTATAGAATTCTATTTTAGAACTAAATTTCAATTTTTAATCAAATATTATTTCATATTCAATTTAAATCATTTATTTTTTTAATTAATGCTGCTTTTGTAAACACTATTCTTGCAATGTTTTATATATAAAATATATGTATATTAATTTTATGTGGAATATAATGAGTATAATTAAAGATAAAAGTACAATTATCTTAGAATAAAATATGAAGTATGGTATGATATATTAGTTTTTCCATTTATTAAAATCGTTTTTATAATAAAATCCATCGTTTGGTCAAATGTTGTCAAAAAAGATATAAAAAGTATTTAAAAGGAGGTGTTCCAGCCCGAAGGTCGGACAAAAAAGAGTCAAGGCCAGCAAATAAGGGTATGGGAGCGATGCCCCATAAAAATGAGGCTCTGTAATTGCCCACGGGACCGAATAATTTCCAGTTCCTCTCTGTTGATAATTAATATATTTCTATTCTTTACTATTAAACAACCCTTATTTAGAAATTTTATAAAGAAACTGAAGTTGCTTGAATTGGAAAAAATATCCCTAGTTAGTAAAGATAAACAAGGTGACCTATTAATACCATAATATTAATATTTGGTTTGTGCTAATATTTAGTGTCTGATTGATTCCTTAATCAGTTTTGTTTTACCATAAAAAAGAAATCAATTTATTAACAAAATGAAAACGAACAAAACCTCTTGTCTGAACTTTAATTTGTAATGTTTTAGATCTTCCATGCGCGTCTTAGATAGAACGTCATTTTTACTTTGAGATATACTTAGTGATCAAAGTAAGCTCCAAGCCTGGAATATCAATGCTTGGAATTATAAAACAAGGCCAATATTTTATTTTGTCAGTTTTCAAAATCTGAGGTAATTATTATGAATCCATCGTGGAATTTTTAAAAAACTCATTTGACAGTCCTAGGAAAACCAAAATTTTTAGGAGAGAGATTTATTTTTTATTCGTGAATTGTGACATTATAATTCATAAAATATGTGCATTTCTCTTTATATTTTGTCTTATTTTTCTAAAGGTTTAAAATAAATAATTGGTAAAAAAAATCAGTGTTTCCTTATATATTGGAATCGACCTTTAAAGTATTAAATATATTTATATAACCTTTAATAGCTCTGTCCTTCATGAGATTATGCTTGAATTCACATTTTTTAACAAATTTTTCAACATTATTGTATGCATTTTGATTCCAATTCTAAGTAAAATAATATTATAAATATGTTTTAATTTTTTCTTAATCTCTTAAAAAAATATTGTAAAAAATTTCATATATAAATAAATGTAAAAAATTAATTATATATTAAATAACTATTATAATAATAATATATTATATGAAAATTTCCGCAAAATGGAGCATTTTTAAAAATTTAATTTGTATATTTTTAAAAATTACGGTTTAATTTATAGCACAATATGAAAATATAAATTTAAAATTCATGCAAAAATTTTTTAATATTTTTGAAAGAATTAAATTACAAAATGAATGAAAAGTAATTCATGAAAACATTAAAGTTTATAAAAAGGGAGATTATGTTTTTTATAATGAAAAAAAAATTATTGGCCTAACTTATATTTTAAATTAATTAATCATATTTATTTTGAAATTTAAGCTTTCTTTTATCTCAAAATGATGAAACAAAATGTTTTTATATCTAAGAACTATGAGTTTATTCAATATTTGCAATTTACTTAGAACTCTTAATTCAGAATATGCTATTTAAAAAAATTATTGATAATTTAAAAAAAATGATAGTCGTTTTGATTTAATGCCATACCCTATTTTATATAATAATAAAGTGATCAGGAATATAAATAATAGAAAAAATGAAGTCTGAGATATTAGGTTAATGATGCTAAGCAATACCGAGTGAATCGTGATTTACAATTTTTATTTTATACATACCAGAGACCTGCAGAGGCACCATTTGCACGGCCCGGCCCGGTTTTAAATTTTTTAGGCCCGGCCCGGATATTTAAAAAAAAATTTTTTACGGCCCGGCCCGGATTTATAGATTTAAGGCCCGGCCCGTTTTTAAAAATTTGAGGCCCGGCCCGGATATTTAAAAAAAAAATTTCAGGCCCGGCTCGGAATTTATTTTTAAAATTATATTCGACCTGGTATATACAAAAATTCATCTTTTTGCATTTATAAAAATAAAACTAATATTCATAAAATGGTAATAATATTTTGAGCATATACTATATTATATATTGCATTTAAAAAAAATAAAACTAATATTTAATTTATAAAAATGGAAAATATTTTGAGAATATAATATATTGTATTTAATTTACTATTTAATTTATAAAATAAAAATAAATCGCTATTTAAAAAAATGCATGTATAATAAATAGTATTTTGAAAATATAATCTAATTGCACAATATTAATATAATTTATTTTCTAATTTTTAAATATTTTATATTACATTTATAGGTTGGTTTTTCAGGTGTAAAAAAAAATTATTAATTTTCATGGATTTACCATCATATTTATGTCTTTTTAGATGTGATGTACCATGTTTATAATTATAAAATAATATACTTGAACAATTCTTACATTGTACGTAGCCAATGTTTTTTTTATTTTCATCTATGATGATGTTAAATTTAGCCCATATTTCAGATTTTAAATTATTATTTGTATTTCTAAAAGAATAAATATTATTTTTAATTTTATTAATTATATCATTAGTATTTTGTGCCATGATATTCCTTTATTTGATTGTTTTAGTAAATATTCTAAAAATTTAGATATGAATTATAAAAATTATATTATTAATACTTGAATATTGGGGCTTATTTAAAATATTCTTTTATTTGATTGTTTTGGTAAAATATGTTGTAAAAATTTAGATATGAATTATAAAAAAATATATTAATACTTTGAATAAATTTGCAGGAAATTAATAATTAGATCGATCTGTGGGTGTTAGGTGTGTTAACCATTACCCAATATTATATTAATCATAACTATAATATAATATAATCTTATAACCATTAACTCTTTTATAAAAATATTAAGGCCCGGCCCGGCCCGGTGCGGGTTTAACAATCTTAGGCCCGGCCCGGCCCGGGTATATTTATAAAATATAAAATCCGGGCTTAGGGCCAGGCCTGCAGGGCTCTGATACATACTACCAAATACCAAAATTTATTAAAATGTAATAAGACCCTTATTATTTAACATATATTTATACGGAATCACGTGGAGTCAGGTCTCATATATATCATCTCCCAAAGACGGAACCACCAAGTTAGATTAAGAAAAAAATATCATTGCTGGGATTTGAACCCATAACCATCGGATTGGCAAGCAACGCTCTTACCTACTAGGCCACAGACGTTTTCCAAAAATAACGATTTTTCAAATATATATTATAAATATATTTGGTAGTGCCAATCCAAATGAAAAATAAACAAAATAAAAATATGATAGGTAATACCTTAAGGTAGTATGCATCATTAACCGAGATATTAACATTATATCTGTAAATTGAAAAATATTAAATATGTATATTAAAAAAAATATTAATTAAAATTATATTTTTACTCGTAATGAATAATAATAAATCATTCACTTTTATTACTACTATAATTCATTCAAATTAATAATTAAAGAAAATTACATATATAAATTTCTTTTCTATTAAAGAGAATGCATGGTAAAACCGTTTTATATCAATAAAGATTAAAGGAGAGAAATCAAAGAAAATATTAGTTTTATGCTATATAAGGAATTATATTCTAATTTTAAAGAAACTTATATTTATATAAGAGTGAGCTTTAATAAATTTGCAGATTTTAGGCCATTTTTTATTTCAAAACTAAAATGATTGGTTTTCAAAAAATTAAAATATATCAACTTTTTTTTTCCCTGAAAATCTAGGCCATTGTGAACTTGAAGTTGGAATCTAAGTGGAGTAACATTTTTTCTCAATAGCCCAAGTCAAACATTACCAAGGATTAACAGAAAGAGCTACCTTCAGTGTTCATATGAGAATCAAATATTAACACATTAGATTCATTTATAATGAAAATATCACTGGAATTAATTATGCATTTGTAAAAGATGATGAATATCGGAATCAGAAGTTTCATTCTTTTTTGCCACTTTGGGAAAATTAAATTAAAGTTAGACTTTTTCCTATTAAGAAATTATAGAATTTACAATATATAAAAAATTAAATTCTTTCTTCAATAAAATCATTGATTACTTTTTTAATTTATTTTTAAGAGGAGAATTCAATACGTCAAATAAAACCAAATCCCCCCCTCCCCACCCCCACCAATTAAATATTAAATATTTGATAGCCTTTGACATATAACAATTATTGATTAATATCAAATTTATTTAGAATAATTGTAATAGACTTCTTCTTCTTCTTCTTCTCCGTTTTATGGCGATTTCCAGGTTTACCCGGGTAGGCCAGTTTTCCCTCTGATTTTTCTTTTCCATTTTTGACGGTCCTGAGCATCAATACTTGTAAGATTCAAGCTTCTCATATCCGCCGCTATCACATTTGTCCACGTCATCTTGGGTCTTCCTCTAGGTCTTGATCCTCCTACTTCCATCATTGTGCATCTCTTTATCCAGTCATCTCTTGTCATACGTTCCACATGCCCAAACCATCTTAGTCTATTTCGTCGCATTACCATACCAATCATTTCTATACCTAATCTTGCTCGCAATTCCTTGCTAGTTTTTCTCTCTCTCAGAGATACCCCACACATCCATCTAACCATCCTCATCTCTGTTCTTTCTAATTTGGCTTCGTGAATTGCTTTCATTGCCCATGTTTCACCGCCATAAACTAAACAACTCCTCACGCAGCTTACGTAAACTTTCCCCTTTAACTTCAGAGAAACTTTTTTATTTGTAAGAATAGATGACATCTCTCTGAACTTCTTCCAAGCTTGTCTGATCCTTGCAACAACAGCAGAATCTACACCACCATCTGCGTTTAGCATATCACCTAAATAACAAAACTTATCCACTTTTTCTAGGGTTAACCCATTGCCAATATCCAGACCACCATTTTTTAGGTTATCATTATTATGTATCCCTTTCATGCATGTTTTACAAATAAAGGTCATTCTTTCTAACATCAAACTGCCTTTTTTCCCACTACATCTTTTATGTACCCATTTCTGGCATCTGGTGCATTGGATAGAATTTCTAGCAACTCCTTTCCCACATACACCACAAGGCCACTTACCTGATTCTTCTATCTTTAGATTTTCCCCACCAATCATCACCTTTGTTTTTGATGCATTCATTTTCAGGCCCTTTGCTTCCATAGTCATCTTCCATTTACTAACTTTATCCCTCAATTCTCCCTCACTGTTTGCCATTAATACAAGGTCATCTGCATATAATATCTCCCAGGGAAGTCCTTCACGCATTTCTCTAGCCACCACATCCATTACTAAGATAAATAATAATGGACTCAGCACGGATCCTTGATGAAGTCCTACCTTCACCTCAAAGCTGTCACTATCACCATGATCCGTCCGTACTGCTGTTTGTGCTCCAACATACATTGCCATCACTGCGGTAACTAACCATTCCTCCACACCGGATTTTCTCAAGGCCCATCTTGTAATCTCACGCGGCACCCTATCAAATGCTTTCTCCAAATCAACAAACGCATAATAGAGTTTCTTTTCCTTCGCAAGATACTTCTCCTGAATTTGTCTCACCACAAAAATTGCATCTGTCGTGCCTTTTCCCGATGTAAAACCAAACTGCATTTCATCAATTTTGATTTGTTCCCTTATCCGCTTTTCTAACACTCTCTCAAATAATAATAAATGCATATACAAATTATTAAGATATATCTATAATTAATTCTAGCATCTTAATCTTTTAAATTAATATTTAGAAATCTACACAATCTAGTTTCCAATATAATTTAAAATGTCATCGATAGAGATTGATAAAAAAGATATGGGTGCAGATAATATATACAAAGTTATTTCTCTGTACAATGATATGTAATTTCCTTCATGTATATCGCATAAAATTTATCGAAAAAAAAACAAGTATAAATATCATTGTAAGATGTGCCAAGTAAATTTTATCCTAACTAGTAACTTCAAAGAGGAAATATTTTTATATCCTCAAACTTAAAAATATAATATGAATAAAACATAGATGAGTTTATGTAATAGTTGATTTTCTAACCCAGTCTATGACAATAACATTTAAGAATTTTATTATAAATTAAAATTACAAGAAATATATTAGCATCTCATTTTATCACTTAAAGATTATTATGTACCTAACTACTCGTATATATAATAACCATTTTTTGTCCCTTATCTGTGATACATCATCACTGATATTTTAATTTAACATGTTTAGGATATATTTTTTTAGCTATTTCCTTTAAAAAAATTTGAAAAAGTTCAAAAATAGCGATTATAACAATTGTCACCTATCTATGATACATCCTCACTGAATTTTTAATTTAACATGTTTAGAATATATATTTTTAGCTATTTCCTTTAAAAAAATTGAAAAAAGTTCAAAAATAGCGATTATGACAATTGTCACCTATCTATGTTACATCCTCACTGAATTTTTAATTTAACATGTTTAGAATATATATTTTTAGCTATTTCCTTTAAAAAAATTGAAAAAAGTTCAAAAATAAAGATTATGACAATTGTCACCTATCTGTGATACATCCTCACTGATATTTTAATTTAACATGTTTAGGATATATTTTTTTAGCTATTTCCTTTAAAATAATTTGAAAAAGTTCAAAAATAGCGATTATGACAATTGTCACCTATCTATGATACATCCTCACTGAATTTTTAATTTAACATGTTTAGAATATATATTTTTAGCTATTTCCTTTAAAAAAATTGAAAAAAGTTCAAAAATAGCGATTATGATAATTGTCACCTATCTATGATACATCCTCACTGAATTTTTAATTTAACATGTTTAGAATATATATTTTTAGCTATTTCCTTTAAAAAAATTGAAAAAAGTTCAAAAATAAAGATTATGACAATTGTCACCTATCTGTGATACATCCTCACTGATATTTTAATTTAACATGTTTAGGATATATTTTTTTAGCTATTTCCTTTAAAAAAATTTGAAAAAGTTCAAAAATAGCGATTATGACAATTGTCACCTATCTATGATACATCCTCACTGAATTTTAAATTTAACATGTTTAGAATATATATTTTTAGCTATTTCCTTTAAAAAAATTGAAAAAAGTTCAAAAATAGCGATTATGACAATTGTCACCTATCTATGATACATCCTCACTGAATTTTTAATTTAACATGTTTAGAATATATATTTTTAGCTATTTCCTTTAAAAAATTGAAAAAAGTTCAAAAATAACGATTATGACAATTGTCACCTATCTATGATACATCCTCACTGAATTTTTAATTTAACATGTTTAGAATATATATTTTTAGCTATTTCCTTTAAAAAAATTGAAAAAATTTCAAAAATAAAGATTATGACAATTGTCACCTATCTATGATACATCCTCACTGAATTTTAAATTTAACATGTTTAGAATATATATTTTTAGCTATTTCCTTTAAAAAAATTTGAAAAAGTTCAAAAATAGCGATTATGACAATTGTCACCTATATATGATATATCCTCACTGAATTTTAAATTTAACATGTTTAGAATATATATTTTTAGCTATTTCCTTTAAAAAAATTGAAGAAAGTTCAAAAATAACGATTATGACAATTGTCACCTATCTATGATACATCCTCACTGAATTTTTAATTTAACATGTTCAGAATATATATTTTTAGCAATTTGCTATAAAAAACTCAAAAAAGTTCAAAAATGTCGATTATGACAATTGTCACTTATCTATGGTACATCTTCACTGAAATTTAGATTTAACATGTCTACAATATATATTTTTATCTATTTCATTTAAAAAAGTTCAAAAATAACCATCATAACAAATAGCTCTTTTCTATGGTACATCTTTACTTAAAAATTTTAAAAAATAACTATGATGGAATAGTTAAATCAGAGCTTTATAATTTAAAGAAGCTTTAAGAAACTTTCCCGCCTATAATATTAATATCTACTAAATGTTATTTGACTTTTGGTCCAAAAAAATGATCTAGATATTTGGTTAGGTGAAAAAAAGCAACCCTAACTTTAAGGCGTCTTTAAAAAAAACGATCCATATTTTGGGTCGGATTGAATAAAACGACCCGATGTTTGAGTCTGAGTCAGAAAAACGACCCAAACTTTGAGTTGGAGTCGAAAAATACGATCTAAACTTCAAGTTGGAGTCGAAAAATACGACCCAAACTTCTAGTTTGAGTCGAAAAATACGACCCTAACTTCAAGTTTGAGTCGAAAAATACGACCCAAATTTCAAGTTTGAGTCGAAAAATACAACCCAAATTTTGAGTCGGAGTCGTAAAAAACGACCCATATTTTAGTCGAGGTCGTTTTTTTCGGCTTGGACTTGGGTCGGAGTCGAAAAAAACGACCCATATTTTGGGTCGAAGTCGTTTTTTTCGGCTTGAACTCGGGTCGAAGTCGTAAAAAACGACCAAAACTTTGAGTTGGAGTCGAAAAAAACGACCCAAAATTTGGGTGAGCTCTGTTCGAGCCGACTCGGCTAAGCCGATTAACAACACTAGCATAGAAGTATGATATAGGGAGGCTATGTAAAAAATAAACGTCTTAAATTTAGAAAAATATTTACGATAAGAAGATCATACGAATATATTACCGCGAATGCATTATAGCGAATGTATTATAGCGAATGAATTATCGCGAATACATTATAGCGAATGCATTATAGCGAATGCATTATAGCGAATGCATTATAGCGAATGCATAGCGAATGCATTATAGCGAATGCATTATAGCGAATGCATTATAGCGAATGCATTAGAGTGAATGCATTATAGCGAATGCATTATAGCGAATGAATTATCGCGAATGCATTATAGCAAATGCATTATAGCGAATGCATTATAGCGAATGCATTATAGCAAATGCATTATAGCGAATGCATTATAGTGAATGCATTATCATATCGCGAATGGAGTTTCATGAAAGTTACAATTTTATATTTATCGACTTTTCAACTGACTTAGTTGAATCTGAAAATTAAGTTAAAAAGGGGATTGGCTCTAAAAACATTTTTTTATTGAAATTAAGGCTAAGGCTTATCTTTTTTTTGACTCAAAATATATAAAAAAGATTCTAAGTAATAAAATAGATTTCTCTTTTTCATCTAATCATTTTAAATATTAAACATCAAGTTTTTTCTTTTTAATTTATTGAAAACTTGTAGGGGAGAACGGGGTTATGACGAACCCTAAAGGCAAACCTTAAGAAAATTATAAGTACTTTATCATTTTTAATAAAAAATATCTCATTTTGTTCAGCTCTATTAGTTTTATGATATGTTTAAATTTCAAAAATACATCTCTAATAATTTTTTCAAAATATCATTTTTCCTGGAATTTTTTTTGGTAACCGAGTGAACCCTACCCGGGGACGAACAAGCTCTTGGTCGAGGCTATTACAAACTCTGCTTAATTTTCCATATATAAAAGTTATATATTTTTTTTTTAGGAATTTAATGATTTAAACATAAAAGTGTTATATAAAATCATTTAAATTCACAATCTTTGCAAATAAAAAAACAATAAAATTGCAAAGCCATGTAACTAATAACTGACATTGAAAGCAGTCTTGATTGTTATGCTTGATATAATTTATTTGTATACCAAACAATTATTTATCATATAACATTTTTCGATTTTTTTTCTTTTAGTTTTGCATGTCAAATTTTTAAAAAATAGCAAAAAAAAAAAAGGTTCGACCTAACCCCATAAAAATAGCCCCAGTAGCACCACTTTGATTAAGATCATATTTTGAAGTATTTATATTATCAATTTTGTTCGGGTAAATTGTTATTCTATAAAATAGGATTTTTTCTTTTATATAAGATAATTTTTGTGTGGTAAAATTGTATATTAATCTTTATTTTTGAAAAATAGTAAAAGTGTAAAAAGTTACTTTTGAAGGTATGAATGATATAAAGCATTATAAAAATTCTTCAAGCGGTCCGATAGAAATAAAAATTATAGCCGCATATGCAATATATAAGTATATAGTTTTGGTAAAAAATTATCTCTTAGAGTTTAATACTCTAGAAAATAAAGGTACTCTCACTATAACCCTGGGTTCATTATAATACAGGTCTCCCCTAATTATGGGCATCAAAAATTTTTTAGCTTTAGCTGATAACATAAAATAATATCACAAAGTTCTATCCAAAAGTGTCTTACTTTGTAAAATAAACAAAAAATGTCTACCAATATGGCAGGTAACATCAAGAAATTGGGTAGGTATCTGATAAATTCTAGTGGAATTCGTATTACGAATCTATGGTTTTGCTTGATAAAATCTTAGTTGAAAAACAAAAGGAGCTTGATGAGTTATATGATAACAATGGGGTTAGCTTGGTGAACTGGATTAATATTCCAATTTTTCCTAGAGAATTCAGGAATTAAACTTGATTCCAATTTTTCTTCTCATGTCAAAATTTTATCATTATCAGATCTTTGATAAAATACATAATTTAGAAAATTATCGTATGTTTATATTGTTAGTGGTATTTAATAATGAGATTTGTTTAATAATGCCAAAATATTTTATGTTATAGTTTATGAATTTGAATAAATCTTTAAAAATATATATGTCCGACTATATTTTTTTATCTTAATTTTCTAAAAGCCACTTTATAAAATTTAAAATATTTTGTTTTTATGTTATAGTTTATGAATTAAAGGAAATCTTTTAAAATATATATGTACGACTACATTTTTTTTATCTTAATTTTCTAAAAACCACTTTATAAAATTATATATTTTGAGAATATTAAGACAGGAGATTTCATAAAAAACGAATGACACGTTTCGGAGTTAATAAGATTTCAAAACGCGACGTTTTTTAGCCGGCCGGTAAATAATCAAAATTTTTGATCTCATTATCAACTTTCTTCCAATAGTAGGAATATGGCTAGTATTCGTTTTTGTCAATATCATCATAAGCTTGACAATTTATAATTGAATTTATTAAATACCATGAGATAGCCCAACAAACACTTAACTTAAGTTATACATTAATAAATATTTTTAATATTTTATATTTTAAGATTGATTCTAGTAAAAGTTAATTTTTGCCCCAACAAGCCCCAAACCCCAGGTTTGTAGATTACATTGGTTTATTAAGTCTCCTATAGGATAATTGTTATTATCAATAATACACCATTTGTATATAAATAATTCATAAAAAATTTCAAAATGTGATATTTTATTTTAAAAAATGTTTAAGTTTTAATGAATTTTTTAATTTTTTTTCTAATTCTTTTGATTATCAACCACCAGAAAAGGTGAAAGTTAAAGGGAAAAAAATAGAATTTAAAGCTATAATAGTAGCCAATGAATACTTATTATATCATATTTTTAAGCATAATATAATTAATTCGACCTAATTCTACTAGCCCCTAGTTACTGATATGATTTACCCTTTCCAGCGCTAAAAAAATATGTTGATAATTTTTTCTTTTTATTATAGTAAATGGTTTTAAATTTTTCATAAACATTTTTAAAAAAATAAGTGGTTATAATACAACCCTCTCCCAAGCCATATCTGGCAAAAAAATTTTAAAATAAGATTAGACGAAGGGGAACATTGGATTGAGACCTCTATCTTATTAAATCTTTTGTAATCGTCAAAATTATTAATTTTATAGCTTTAAAACATAAAATCTTATCTTTTTTAAATTTAAACATAGTTAAATTTAAAAATAATAAATGCTCCTGTTTCTAATATAAATCTTAAAATGATAAAAAATATATTTAATTATATATTTTGGTGGTTTCAATAGAGATGATATGTGAATTTAGTTCAAATTTAATATTTTGTAAGTTATTTTCAAATCATATTATTCTGCCTGAAAGGGAATGCCTACAATAAATATTTTTAAACATAATGATTATGAGACTTTCTGAAATGGGAAAAGAAGATTTTTTAATTTCATATTCTGTCTATTTAATTATTTCTAAATCTCACTGTGCAAATTGGTTTATTATTCATGATACGGTTTAAAACAATTTCAACTTTAAGAGAGACAGAAGGCCACAAATCCATATTTTTATGCCGTTTAATATTATAGTGAAAAACATTTTAATTATGCTTTAATATTATTTACTTATCTTAAATTCCGTATAAAACAATTTATAAAATACAGAGAAAATATTAAAAATAACGAAATTTGAAAATTTAGGGCAGGGCTTTAAATAATCAGAGCTAAAAAATGCAGACCGAAGAACACAGGTATATTAATTTACGACATTTATATTATTTATTTTATTACTAATTATGACATTGAAATATGTTAAATTCAATTTTGTCTGTACTGTAAAAAATAGCTAAATATTAATAAAAGTATAATTTTTTTTGGCGTTGATAAAGGAGTAACTACCTGAATCACGGGGAAATTTTTGATCTTTTTTTTATTTATTTATTTTTTAAAATATTTTTTATGTGGTCACTTGAATATTTATTTTTTTATATATTTTTATGTGGTTATTTGAATAATTATTATTTTAACTTATATATTTTTATGTGGTCATTTTAATAATTATTATATGGTCATTTTATTATTAAGAAAACCTCTCATTTGTATATATGTGAATATAGTTATTTTAGTAATTTGTTTTTCCTTAAAATATATATATATATATATATATATATATATCTATATCTATATCTATATTATCATTAATCATAATTAAAATTAGACATAAATTTGATATAAAAAATAAATTTTTTATTTTTATAGGCAAAATATATTTAAAAATAATTTTAAACTGGCGTAAAATTATTTATGACCCAGACAAAATGTTTTTAAGATTATTTTATCCCTTTTTTTATTCAAGGGTGTTCTGAGAATCAAATTACTCAATATATCATTTAAATAATTATGATTAAAAGTTATAAAGGTTTAGATCTAGAGATATATAATAACTTTGTTTACAGCCTTGATAAAAAGGTGCCTCCTACCTACTAATATAGGTGCGTAGAGAGAAATACTCACAAGTGTATGGCCAGGCTCACATGCCGAAATAATAAAAAAATTCCAAATAAATTCGAGCACAATCATATTCCGGATATTGCTCAAACTGAGTCACGAAAAATTGTTAACGAAATTAAGCATAAAGCGAAAACAACTATCGATACTCCCAGTATGATTATCTCGGAGATATCGGCAAATCTAGATGACTCCATCGCAATGAAGATTCCTAACTCCAGCCTTATTAAAAGGATAATACACCGTACAAGAAGCTCTCACAATCATCCACCACCGTGCCCAACTTCTTTGGCCGAATTAATTTTACCCTACGAATATACTATTACCGAGAAAGGCGAGAATTTTATCATTCATGATGATGAGGTAAAATTGAACAATTTGTTTAAATTTTATATATTTTTGGTAAATTGCAAGTAACTATTTTAAAAATTATTAGATTAAACTTTTAATATTGCAATTTTATATTATAAATTAAGATAAACGAGCGACTTTTAATATTCTCCACTGATGGAAATCTTGAATTTCTCTCCTCATGTGCGATGTGGTTCACCGATGGTACTTTTAAATGTACACCTCCTCCTTTTCATCAACTTTATACGCTTCACGGAGTAAAAAAAAAACGGTTTTCCCACTAGTTTACATATTGATGACCGGTAAAAGGAGTGAGGATTACAAGCGAGTTTTTGAAATTATTCGATCATATGTAACAATCTCTCCTGATTTTATAATGACCGATTTTGAGTTATCGGCAATCAATGCATTCAAATCGGTCTTCCCGTTAACGAAACAAAGAGGATGTTTATTTCATTTTGGTCAAAGTTTTTGGAGAAAAATACAAAGGTTTCCAGAAATATCAATGCAATATAAAACCAATACACAATTTTGTTTATTTTTAAAAATGATAGTATGTTTGACCTATGTGCCAGAAACAGATGTTACAATGGCTTTTGAGACATTAATAATGTCTCCGTTTTATCAAGAAAATGTTATTTTACAGCCGATTATTGATTATTTTGAAAACACATATATAGGGAAATCTTATGGGAGGGAAAGATTAATCCCAATTTTTCCCATTCCCTTATGAAATTGCTATAATTCCACACTTAATGGCGACGCGAATACAAATAATTCTGTGGAGAGATGGCACAGGAGTTTTAATTCATTGCTGACTTCCTATCATCCTACAATATGGAGATTTATAACAGGTATAATATTAGATTTCCAGGTAAAAAATTTAAGAAAAAAATTCTAGAATAATTTAGTTTTTTTTAATTAAAAAAGGAAAATTGATTATACATTGAATATTTATATCATTTTAAGGACTTAAAAAGCAACAAAGTTTAACTGAATTAAAAATTGTCCAACTACAAGGAGGTGATGATGAAGCTTCTCCAAGAAAAAAAATACCGGAATCTCTCAGAAAGACTAAAAAGAATAGTATCGGATTACAGAAATCGCGATATTTTATCGTACTTGAAGGGCCAGCATCCAATATTAATTTAAATATATAATTTTACAATAATGTATTCAATTATAATAAAAAAATAAAATAGCAAATATATATTTTTATATTATTTTATATTTTTTAGTAAAAATATAAAACTCTATAAGCAGCTAGCAGATTGTAATTGTATTCTCATATTATTATTATTAGATTTTTGGTTAGAAAAATTCATTTTTGTGGCAATATAGTGAATTGATCTTTAATATTATATGAAGAGTTTTATAAATAAAATTAAATTCTATATATAAATTGAAACGCGAAAGTGAGATTTAAAAAAATTACTAATCAAAAATATTAAGGGTTGTAAACATTAATAAATTTTAATATAACGAGTTAGATTTCAGGCACTAGTCTTGATCCCAAGTTCAGTTAGGGTTCCAGAATTTAAAAAAAATTATATTATTATTTTAGAGTAATAAAATATAACAAAATATGAGTTAATAAACAAGTCATGTAATCTATTTATAAATCTTATTTCGTAGTATCATCAATTAACTTATAATAAATCTTTAAAAAAAGAAAAAAAATTATTGCACCTTTCATCTTTTTAAAGTAAGGGCCAAAAGTAAATTATAATATGGTAATAACTTTATTTTTATCCAATTCCAAAAATGTCTAAAGATTTTAATAGAAAATATTATTTCAGCCGCCGGGTTATTTTTAAAAGAATAGCTTTATCAACGCCAAAAAAAAATTATACTTTTATTAATATTTAGCTATTTTTTTACAGTACAGACAAAATTGAATTTAACATATTTCAATG